AATAGCCACTATTAATAAAAACAAACAACAACAGATGCTGGTAAGAATACAGAGATAAGGGAATGCTTCTATGCTGCTGGTGGGAACGCAAACTAGTTCAACCTCTATGGAGAGCAGTGCGGCAATTTCTAAAAGAACTAGAAATCGACCTTCCATATAACCCAGCAATCCCCCTACTGGAAATATACCTGGAGGAACTCAAAGCATTCTACAAAAAAGATGCCTACACACGCATGTTTAATTACAGCACTTCTCACAATGGCAAAAACATGGAATCAACTGTGTTACCCATCAACACTGAACTGGATTTTTTAAAAAGAGGTACATTTACACAATGGAATATTACACAGCCATAAAGAGGGACAAACATGGACTTTGTAGCAACTTGGACTGATTTAGAGTCAATAATACTCAATGATCTATCATAGAAACAAAGAACAGAGTACCACATGTTCTCACTTAAAGCAGAGTCTGAACATTTACCATAACACTTTAGAAAGGGATTGGCAGTAGTGGGATACTGCCAGGGAGGTGGGGGGGATCACAACATCAATAAGTGTACCTGATCTCAAACCAGGCAAAGTGGGGACCAAAGGGAGGCCCAAACTTTACCTGTACAATGCCCACTTGTATTCCTGAATTGTACCCTATATCTTTAAAATAAAATATAAAAAAGAAAGATTTTGAATTAATGACAAATGAAAAGAAAATGTCAAAATTTTTGAAACACAGCCAAAGTATTCTGTTTATTTTATTTTATTTTATTGAGTTGGAATCTCACTCTGTTGCCCAGGCTGGAGTACAGTGGCACTCTCATGGCCACCACAGCCTCGACCTGCTGGGCTCAGGCAATCCTGCCTCAGTCTTCCAAGTAGCTGGAACCACAGGCACGCCTCACCACACCTGGTGAATTTTTTTTATTTATTGTAGAGATGAGGTCTCGCCAAGTTGCCCAGACTGGTCTCAAACCCCTGGGCTCAGGCAATCCCCTTACCTCCACCTCCCAAAGTGCTGGGATTATAAGCATGAGCCACCACACCCAGCCTAAAGTACTCTTTAGAAGAATAAAAATAAATCATAAATACTTATATTTGTAAATAAGGAAGTCCTGAAATCAGTTATCTAAGCTTGTAACTTTAAGCTAGAAAAACAAAGCAAACTAAACTCAAGATAAGCAAAAGAAGTAAATTAATAAAAATACAATTTAAAACCAATGAAATAGAAAATAATTTAATGAAACAAAAAATTGCTTCTTTGAGAAGAGCAGTAAAATTGATAAACCTCTAGCCATACTAATCAGAAAATTAAAAAAAGAAGACACAAATATCAATATTAGGAATGAAAATAAGACATCATTACAGATCTTACTGTTATTAAGAACATTATAGGCCAGGCGTGGTGGCTCACACCTATAATCCCAGCACTTTGGGAGATAGAGGCGAGAGGATTGCCTGAGCCCACAGGTTTGAGACCAGTCTGGGCAACTTGGTGAGACCTCATCTCTCCAATAAATCAAAAAACTAGCCGGGCATGGTGGCACATGCTTATAGTTCCAGCCACTTGGAAGACTGAGGCAGAAGGATCGCCTGAGCCCAGCAGGTTGAGGCTGCGGTAGACATGAGTGTGCCACTGCACTCTATCCTGGGCGACAGAGTGAGACTCCAACTCAAAAAAAAAAAGAAAGAAATTTTATTTTATTTATTTGTTTTTTTGAGTCAGAGTCTCACTCTGTTGCCCAGGCTGGAATACAGTGGCACACTCACAGCCACCACAGCCTTTAACCTGATGGGCTCAGGTGATCCTTCTGCCTCAGCCTTTTAAGTAACTGGAACTACAGGCATATGCCACCATGCCTGGCTAATTTCTTTATTTATTTGAGAGATGAGGTCTCTGCAGTTTGCCCAGGTTGGTCTCGAACCCATGGGCTCAGGCAAGTCTCTCACCTCGACCTCCCATAGCGCTGGGATTATAGGTGTGAGCCACCACACATGGCCCAGAACTTCTTTTAAAGAGAATCCAAGAAAATCCTGTAGCTAATATCATAGTTAAGGATGAAAGACTATAAAAATCAAGAGCAAAACAAGAACTTTCTTTTTTTTTTGTTTTTGAGTTGGAGTCTCACTCTGTCACCCAGACTGGAGTGCAGTGGCCACTCCCGGCCACTGCAGCCTCGACCTGCTGGGCTCCGGTGATAAAACAAGAACTTTCACTTTCATCTCTGCCATTTATTGTCATACTAGAGTTGTTAAACAAGTGAAGGAAAGAAAAAGAAATAAAAGGCATACAGACTGCAAAGGAAGAAATAATCACTCTATAAATATTACATTATTCTCTACCTAGAAAATCCCAAAAAGTTTATTATAAAGCTACTAGAAGCTGGGAACGGTGGCTCAAGTCTGTAATCCTAGCACTTTGGGAGGTGGAGGCAAGCGGATTGCCTGAGCTCAGGAGTTCAAGACCAACCTGGGCAACTTGACAAGACCTCATCACTACAATAAATAAAAAAAAAATTAGTCGTGCATGGTGGCACATGCCTGTGGTTCCAGCTACTTGAAAGACTGAGGCAGAAGGATCACCTGAGCCCAGCAGGTTGAGGCTGTGGTGGCCCTGAGCATGCCACTGCACTCCAGTCTGGGCAACAGAGTGAGACTCCGACTCAAAAAAACAAAAACAAAAAAACAGTAAAGCTACTAGAACTAGTAAGTGAGCTTAGCAAGGTCAAAGAGTAAATGCCAATATACAAAAATCAATTTTATTTCAATTTACTAATGATGAACAATTGGAAATTGAAATTTAAAAAATAGTACCATTTACAATAGCATCAAAATTTTAAAATACTTAGGAATAAATCTTACAGGAAATGTGCAAAATTTATACATTGAAAACTACAAAACATTGATGAGAAAAATCAAAGAAAGTTAAAATAGACCAAGTTTATGAATTGCAGGATATGTCAATTCCCCCCAAACCGGTCTATAGTTTCAATATAGTCCCAATCAAAATATCAGCGTACCAGGAAGTCATGGCTGCAGTGAGCCATGATCGTGCCACTGCACTCCAGCCTGGGTGACAGAGTGAGACCCAGACTCTAAATTAATTAATTGATTAATTAATTAAATATCAGCATAAATTTTTGGAGACATCAATAAGCTTATTCTAATATCTATATGAAGAGACAAACTAGGCTAGCCAAAACAACTTCCTAAAAGAACAAAATTGGAGAACTCACACAAGCTGATTTCAAGACTTACTATAATATAAAGCTGTGCTTATCATGACAGGATGATAAAGATAGACACTCCATATGACCCAGCTATTCCACTCCTAGACATTTACCCAAGTGGAGAAAAAATATGTCCATGCCAAAACCTGGACATGCTAAGACACGCCTGATGTGGAACACTAGCACAGCGGACCGTGGGCTCAAAGAGGCACCCTGCAGCTCAGAAGGCAGGGCCTAAGCCAGGCTACACCCGTGCTTCTCTGAGCTCCGTGGAGGCAGGTTCTCCAGAAACAGTGTTTGATTACCTGCCCTCCATCCACTCATATCCTGAGTTCTGGTTTCCCTCCTCTCCCAACCTGTAGGACTTGAATGCATACATGTGTGTGCTTGAGTGTATGAGTGTGTACATAAGTGCATGTGTGTGCATAAGTGGGCATATATGTGCATATTGTATAGTTCACATATTGGGTGTAGGCATGGGTTTGAGTGTGTGCACCTGCATGCCTGTGTATGTCTGTATTGATTGATTCCATTTCTGGTTCAGTTTTATCCAAAGTCCCCCAATTTAAACAACCCAAGTCCCAGATCACCTTGGCTAAAATGTTATAAAACCAGTTTTTTAACTGTAAACTCATCTCATGCCTCCAGAGCATAATAAAAAGCTTGGTAACCAAGGCAGCCAGCAGTGAGAATGTCCACGGAAGGATAGTTCCATAGGCTGTGCCATCAGGAACAGCAGGCTCTCGGGCCACAGGCAAGCCCATCCATGGGAGAGTGTCTAGCCTGAAACAGTCACAGCAGAACTTCCGGGGGGAGAGGAGATGGAGGCAGTCCACCCATGGAAAAAGTGGAAGAATCTTACCACCACTATACAGAGTGCGAAAAGTAAATTCTGGAAGATTGCATTCAGAATAATGCCCATTTAATATCATCCACAACCACTATCAGAATAAGGAACACACAGTTCCAACAGAGCAAGAAGGCAATGGTGAATTACTGATGACATTCCAATTTCCACGTCAGGAAGTGGGTGACTGGAGGTTTATTATACTGTAATCATCAATAATTACTCATCCGTCAATCAATTCAGTAGGCCATCTGCAGACTCATGATGGAAGCGTGTGTTGCAGAACAAATCCAACTCTGGAAACCTGAGATTCTCCACCACATAGGACACAGGACACCCACCCACCACACCAGAAAATCCAATCCTTGACTCTCTGAGGCATTTGCCATCAAGACAGCACTTGCTGGCCTGGAGCAGACATGGGAGGTTGGTGGGAACGAAGGATACAGCGCCCCTGATGGGTGAGTCCCCGCTGTGGCCACTGCACCTGCACCCATGTAGCCATGGGTGAGAGGTCATTGGCATCTGCAGGCCACGACCCCCACCCAGGACTTCTGATAGCCCCTGTGAGAAAGGATCGCCAAAAAGTGTATAGCAGTAAATCCTATGTAAATGCCAGAATGAACAGTGGGGAGGTATGGAAATAAAAAGAACAGAAGCACAGAGCTGCATTGTCCACCCAGGACTCCACCTTCTGATGACCACTGTGAAAAAGGATCGCTGAAGAGTAAAGCAACAAATCCAGAACAGATAGCAGGGTGTATGGGAATTACAAAGATGAGAAATACAGATCTGCATCATGAAGGCTGATTTTATTTGGTTCGTATAGGGTTATATGCAGAATCTGCAGCACCCAGGAAGGACTCCCTCAGGGAGGGGAACAGGTGTGGATCCAAGTGCACCAGGAGCAGCTGGTTTGAAGCCCCATGGTCAACAGCAGGAAGGGGTGCTACAGGAGATGGGTTTGCAGATGATGGTGGTATAGGAGGGTTGGCAGCACCCAGAGGACTGGCAGGAGGGGGCCACACATACGATGGGCCTGCAGCTCATGGGGACACACACGGAGGAATGATACCTCACAGGCACACACACAGCCGACTTGTAGCTCACAGGCACACACACAGAGGACTGGCAGCCCACGGGCACACAGCAGGATACCTGGCAGGAGCTGGGCATGCAGCAGGCTGCCTGGCAGCCTAAAGAGCAGCTGTAGCACATGGTGGTGCCTAACTGGATGAGGTCAAGGCAGAGGGCAATGATGTCTGGAGAAGGCCTCCCTGGGAAGCCTTTATACCTTGGACCTCAGTGTCCAGACAACACAGAAGTACACTGTTGTCTTCCTTGTTTTTGCTTCCTTGAGGCTGCCTCCCAGAACTTAGTTTTCTGTTGTAATGTCTCTGGTTATGTTTGGCTCTTAGCTTTATGACTAATTGCACCTCCTTCAAGCTCTCAGTACACTTGGAAACCTGCCCAAGTCTATCAGTGACACACAGGTGGTTGTAGCAACACCTGCCGGTATCTGCCCCTCTCCAGGGAAGCAGAGATGAGGGGCTCCCAAAAGGCCTCCTCAATCCACAGCTGCTGCTGCATGGACCAGGAACCTTCAGAAAGACAACAACTGAATATGGACAACACACTAACCCTGAAGGAGTGAAGGATACAAAAGTAGCCTGCCCATCAACTAAACAACTGGGGAAATTCACAAGACATTAATTTCTAGGCAGTGGTCAATAGCAGCGCAGATAGATTTTGGAGTCAAAAGAAACTTGCAAGATAAACTTCACATTTTTCCAGCTCTCTGCCTGGAGTCAGCTTCCAAATGCAGTGCGGTCAGCTGGAGTCTGAGCAAAACACGATGGCCCTACTGTGCTGAGCAGGAAGAGACCAAAGGTGAGGCAGGCAAAGCACCTGGAATCTGAGGAGCAGCTTGCCAGAAGGAGGGATCTGTGTCTGAAGAGCTCCATATGTGTATGGGCGAGTCCACGGTGGATATGTGGGAGGAGACAGGCTTGCTCAAGGCACTACGGGCTCACCAGAGGGAAGCTGCTGCAGGATCAAGAGTGGAACTCCCCAAGCTTCCCACTGAGACCGGGTGCGGTCTGCACCAAATGGATGAAGACTATGCTTATAGCCTAAAGTAAAACCTGCTCCATGCCAGCCCCAGTAAGCCTAAACCAACCCAGGACAAGGTTTCCATGAAAGGCAGTTTGGAAGTTGAGTCCCACCAAGATGTGGAGTCTTCCTTCCAGGTTATACATGCTTCTAGCAAAGTGTTAATGAAAACTGCACAAGTTCAAGATGATCTGCCAGAAATTGACTGTCTGCCAGGATAAAAATCAACAACAATAAAACAATAGAATTCAGAGTCTCTAAATGTATCAGTATAACCTTTAATATATAACCAAAATCACCAGATATAAAGAGATATAGAAGGCCAAGCACAGTGGCTCATAGCTGTAATCCCAGCACTTTGGGAGGTTGAAGGAGGAAAATCACTTGAGGCTAGGAGTTTGAGACTAGCCTGGGCAGCACAGCAAGACTCCATCTCTATTTTTAAAAATTAGCAGTGTGTGGTGGCTTGAGCCTATAGTCCCAGCTACTCAGGAGGCTGAGGTAGGAGGATCACTTGAGTCCAGGAGTTTGAGGCTGTAGTGAGCTATGATCACCCCACTGCTCTCCAGACTGGGCAACAGAGAGAGACCTTGTCTCTATAAATAAACAAATAAATAAATATAAATAAAACAGCAAGGGTACCACAATGAATATTTGTATACCTAACCCTGAATTATACCCCACAATTTTAAAATTAAAAAATTTTTTTAAAAATAAATATAAATAAAAAATTTTTAAAGATATAGGAAAATGTAACTCACTGTTAAAAAGTTAAAGTGTGGCCGGGCACGGTGGCTCTTGCCTATAATTCCAGCACTTTGGGAGACCAAAGTGAGAGGATTACCTGGGCTCACAAGTTCGAGACCAGTCTGGGCAAATGGGTGAGACCTCATGTCTACAATAAATCAAAAAATTAGCTGGGTGTGGTGGCGCGTGCCTGCAGTTTCAGCTACTTGGAAGGCTGAGGCAGAAGGATCTCCTGAGCCCAGCAGGTTGACGCTGCAGTGGTCAGAGCATGCCACTGCCCTCCAGCCTGGGCAGCAGAGTGAGACTCCAAGTTAAAAAAAAAAAAAAAGTGTGATGGATCCAGAGACCAGTCTGTTCGCCTTTCCTCTCCCTTTCTTTCATTTCCCCTCCTCTCCTCTCTCCTCCCCTTCTCATTCTACTTCTTCTTCTTCTCTCTCTCTCCCTCTCTCTCTCCCTCCCTCTCTTTCTTCTTCTATCTCTCTCTCCCTTTCTCCCTTCCTCTTTCCCTCCCTCTCTCCCTCCCTCCCTCTCTCTGTCCCTCTCCCTCTCTTCCTCTCCACCCCCCCCACCTAGATAGTATCTGAAATGTCTCCTAAGAATATGGTTTTAGTCTGGGCGTGGTGGCTCATGCATATAACCCCAGCACTTTGGGAAGCCAAGGTGATAATATTACCTGAGCACATGGGTTTGAGACCAGCCTGGGCAACTTGGCATGACCTCATCCTACAATAAATCAAAAAATCAGCCAGGTGTTGTGACACGTGCCTGTAGTTCCAGCTTCTTGGAAGGCTGTGGCAGAAGGATTGCCTAAGCCCCTCAGGTCAAGGCTGTGGTGGCCATAAGCAGCATACCACTGCACTCCAGCTTGGGTGACAGAGTGAGATTGACTCAGAAAAAAAAAGAACATGGTTTTAAAACCTTGCTGCTTTGACTCCCCTTCTCTCTCTCCAAGATTCAAGAGATTATGGAATTGGCATGTACATCACTAGGTACCAGGGAGCAGAGCTGATAACAAAGAATAACACTCAGCCTTATGTTGTTAATGCTTTTTAATTATTAACACAAAGTGGTGAACCAGGCGGTACATGCAGATGACTTTCTTATAATGAACTTATTTTTTCAAGAATCCGAAGTCTCCATCAGTACACTAAGATCCTAAGAACTGAGAGACACAACACCAAAAACTTATTGATCCATATTGTACCAACTTCAGAAATGCACATGAGGACATCATATATTGCTAAAAGACTGAAGTCATCAAGAAGATATAAGAATTACATATGCACCATGCCACAGAGGTCCCAAAATACAGAGGGCACCAAAAAAATGTATACACATTTTAAGAAACGAAAAAACTGTATTAAAATTGTAATACTCAATATATACTGATAACAAAAGATGAATATAAGTCACATTTGACTTTTGCAATCACAAGAGGTGCTCAAAGTGATTACCATCAGCATTCAGACACTTCTGATTACAGCAAACTATTGCTTGAGCAACGTTGCCCATAGTGTCCACTTGTATCACTGTGCATGCCATTTCAATTTCTTCCTGAAGTACTGCCAGGGTAGCTGGTTTTCTATGATATATCACATCCTTTAAGGTCTCCCATGGTTAGAAGTCAAGGAGTATTAAGTCAGGAGAATGTGGGGGAAATTCAACCACACTGTTCCATCCAATTTAAACTGTGCTTCATCAGACCAAGCCAATTTCCCCACAAATTCCTCATCCTCTCGTACCATGTTTTGAAATCATTCACAATACTGCACCCTTCGATCAGGGTCATCTTCACTCATTACATGCAACAATCTTAGGATGAAAACTTTTCATTTTGCTGTTTTAAGACAGCATCATGACCAGGCATGGTGGCTCATAGATATCCCAGTTCTTTGGGAGGCTGAGGTAAGTGGATTGTCTGAGTCCACAGGTTCAAGACCAGCCTGGGCAACTTGGAGAGACTTCATCTCTACAATAAATCAAAAAATTAGCTGAACGTGGTGGTGCATGCCTGTAGTACCAGCAGCTTGGAAGGCTGAGGTGGAAGGATTGCCTGAGCCCAGCAGGTCAAAGCTGCAATGGCCATGAGCGTGCCACTGCACTCTAGCCTAGGTGACAGAGTGAGACTCCAACTCAAAAAAAGCCCAAAAAACCCAAACAAACAAAAAAAAAGAGTGCATCATATGCTTGTTCTACTAATTCCTGTCTCATGTGCACATTGTTTGGTAGACTTCTGTGGCAAGCATGTAAACTGTTCCAGAACCATAGTAGAAGAAAGCCGGACTTGTTGCTGTGTGAGGCCTCACGGATCCTCCCTTGGTCACCTGACATATAACACCATGCATTTCACACTTATCACAAATGCATGTAATTGTTAGGTGTATTAGAGGTCCTGCTGCATACCCATGCCTCCATAGTCATTGTACTTCCAGAACATTCTCAAATTTCAAATACCACTTCAAAATGGTTTGCGTTCCTCAAATGACAACTGTGCTTCTACCATTTTCTTTGATTGTCCTGCCTGTTGTATGGTGATGCTAGCATTCATTTGATTAACACCATCTTTTGAGCGAACATAATGCTACACAGTCCTACCGTAATTCAATTCAAATTTGAAAAGTAATACATAGATAACATCTCTGAAAATTTGTATACATTTTTTTGGGCATCCCAGTATATGAGCTAACATTGACAGAAATGAAGTGAGAAATAGCTCTAAAATAATAGTTGGAAACTTTCATATTCCATTTTTATTAATGAACATAACATCTAGACAGAATGTCAATAAGGAAATGTTATGACAGACATATGTAGAACACTCTACCCTACAGTAGGAGAATAAACAATCTTCTCAGGTATAGAGGAAACATAGAATAAACCATATATTGGGATACAAAGCAAAGCCCAAAGATTTTTTTAAAAACTGAAATCATGTAAAGTATCTTTCCTATCATGATGGAATGAAATTAGACAGCAATAATAGAAGAAACTAGAAAATTCACAAATATGTGGATATTAGCACACCCTTTAAGAAAAAAAGTGAGCCAGAGAAAAAGATCACAAGAAAAGTACACAAACACTGAGAGATGAATTAAAATTAAAACACAACATACCAAAACCTATGAGATGCTGTGAAGACTGTGCTCAGAGGGAAATTTAAGACTGAAAATGCTATGTTTAAAAAATAAAGAAAAAAGGTCTCAAATCAATAACCCAACTTTACACTTTTAAGGAACTCGAAAAAGAAGAGTCAACTAAACCCAGAGGTAGAAGAAGAAAGACAAGAACAGAGGTAAATGAAATAGAAAATATTTTAAAAAAAAAGCAGAGAGAATCATTTGAAAACCAAAGTTTGACTC